TTTAAACATTAAAGAAATTCACCCAAATCCCGTTCCTTTTTAAAGCGGTCAATTAAAAGTTGACTGACGAGAACGTGCGGATTCCAACGTCTGAATAAATTTTAATTTGTTTAAAAATTTGTTTTAAAAAGTAAAGGAGGACCGTTGGGGAACATGCCCATTTTGTTTATTTGTTGAAGGTGCTTGTCCAAAACACAGGGCATAATTGCCTGTTTTAGTTCTCCAATTCCACCGCCAAGAAAGAATAAATAATAAATCGCGGTGTTCACCGCCATAGGCCAATACAAGTTTGTGGTAAGTGAAGGCGCGGACCTGTAGAATGAAAACAAAATCAGTAACCTTTTGAGGAAATGACAGGTATGGTAAAGAGAGCACCTGTAAGGTAGGCGGATCCGGATCTGGAAAAAGGCCGGATATCCGAAGATTTCCAACTATCCGTCAACCTTATCTGTAAGAGATGATTCTTCTTCTCCCTTCTCTTTTACTGAAGCAAGTATGAACCGATTACCCGAAATCTGAACTGTTTTCGACCCGAAACCAGCACTGGAACTGTTAAAAAACACGACCGAAACACGAGATTCCCCAAGGAAATTTTTCCAAAAAGGTAAAACTCAGGTTTCTTGACCACCCGAAAATAAATTTCAGCCTTTAGCTCTTAAGTGAACGTGCGTTCACGTTTATGAGAGTTCACAAAAGTTTTGACTAGAGCCCGGACCGAGAAGAGATATCGATGAAAAATCTTGGTTATCGAGGTCCAGATTTTTCGAGATATCGATCTCGAACCCTCTCAGTCCGGGCTATAATTTTGACTTAATTTAGCCGATCCTGTTTCAAAATTATTTCAAAATCAATTTATAGTCAAAGCAAAGTACAAATAAAAAATAAAATTTCTTTAAACCCACACTGCAATAATTTTTGTAAAAAGAATTGTAAGCCTCCTCAAAGCGCTTAACAGGTGTGTAAATATGGCAATAGGTAAGTAAACGGTCTTCAATGTTGTGAGCAATAACACAGCTTTGGGAGGGCATATCTCTTGGGCGTTGACTTCCAATGTTTAAGACCCAAGTGTGGGGCTGAAAAAAAATTTTTTTTAATTTTAGAAATTTTTTTGAGAATTTTTGAAAATTTTCAAAAAAATTTTTTCGGAAACTTTTGAAAATTTTCAGAATTTCTTTGAAAAATTTATTGAAAATTTTTTTTGAAAATTTCTGAAAATTTTTTGAAAATTTTTTAAATTTTTTTGAAATTTTAAAAAATTTTAAGGAAAAATTTTTTTGAAAAATTTTTAAAAATTTTCAGTAAAAAATTTTTTTGAAAATTTTTTCGAAAATTAAAAAAAATTTTTTTTTGCTTTATTTGAAATTTTCTAAAAATTTTCGAAAATTTTTGAAAAATTTCTTTAAAAAATTTTTTCGAAAATTTTTGAAAAATTTTTTTTAATTTTTTTAAAATCACTTTTTGTTTATCAGCTTCCACCTCCTCCTCTGTACGATCAAAATCTTGCACCAAAGGAGGATTAATGAAGGTACATTCTAATTGACTAAGTAAATAATATATAAATTTAAGTTTTTCAAAAAATTTTTTTGAATAGACGGTCCTCTTTGTAAGATACAACCAATAACTAGCTAAGTCTCTATTTAAGGTATTTTATAAAATTTTGTTTGGCCACTAGATGGAGGAGCTGCCTAAGCGAGATACCCCCATTTTAGGAATAAGCTAAACCTCATTATAAAATAAGATTTTTCTGTCCAGGAAGGTATGGGGGGGGGGGCAAAAAAAAATTCTTGAAATTCAGTGGATAGGGGAGACTTCCAAGAGATAACCTCTCTATTTAAATACCCCCCATTATAATATATGAATTTTATCCAGATGGTGAATCTACTAGTGAGAGGTTCGACTATATCCTTTTTTTCGAAAAAAATTTCCAAAATTATTTTTTTACCTACTCCCATCAGGCAAATTCAATCGAATATTACACTCCTTCAAATTTTCAAAAAAATCGCCAGCATCCACATTAAATTTATTTGTTACAGAAGACATACTAAAAGATGGGATATAAAAAATTAGAAGCAAAACTGACTCCATTAATTTTAACAAATAACCGCCAACATAGGGTTCAGTGCTAACAGACTCATAGCGAATACCTTAAAGAGAAAAGCTTTTTAAATTAAAAATTCTGATTTTTACAAAATTCTGATTTGCGTAAATTCTGATTTTAAAAATTCTGAATAGAAAATTCTTATTTTTACAAATTCTGGTTTTTAATAAAATTCTGATTTTAAATAAATTCTGATTTTAAATAAAATCCTGATTTTTAATAAAATTCTGATTTTAAAAATTGTGATTATTAATGGAATTCTGATTTTTAAAAATTCTGATTTTTACTAAATTCTGGTTTTAAATAAAATTCTTATTTTAAATGAAATTCTGATTTTTCAATAGATTCTGATTTTGAAAATTCTGAATTTTTACTAAATTCTGATTTTTAGTAAATTCTGATCTTTCAATAAATTCAAATTTTTACAAATTCTGATTTTTCAATAAATTCTGATTTTTAATTCACCTCTAGCATCCAACTCCTCACAAATACGCAAAAACAACAAGCGGTCATCTATTGCAGCAACTGCTGCCTGTAAATGGCGGTGAGTGCCCAACCATGAGGTTGAAGGCGGTGAAGCTTCTTCATTGTCAATTTTCTGAAAAATTAAGGAATCAGAAATGTATTTATTAAATTCTGATTTTCTGAAAATAAAATTCTGATTTTTGAAAAATTCTGATTTTCAACAAAATTCTGATTTTTAAAAGTAATTCTGTTTTAATGAAACTAGTGATTTTCCCAAAAATTCTGATTTTAATTCTGATTTTTGAAAAATTCTGATTCTTAAAAATTCTGAATTCTGATTTTCCCCTAAATTCTGATTTCCTAAAAATTCTGATTTTAACAAAAATTCTGATTTCCAATAAAAAATCGGAATTCTAATAAAAATTCTGATTTGTAAATTCTGATTTTATTAAAAATTCTGATTTTACTTGTTCCCCAGTCACTTCCTCTCCTTCTTCATTTTTCTCCCCTTCCCCTTCAATATCCTTTTCTTCTTCCTTAATAATTCTAGCACTTTTTGCTTCCTTCCCAGTTGTTTCATTCCTCAAATCATCAACACTTTCAATTGCTTCACGTTTATTGTTGCTGCTGCTCAGAGCTGGAAAGGTGTAAGGGGTGGAGGAGGAGGAGGTCATCAAAGACCCTCCAGAAAAAATTTTTTTAATCAAAAAAAATTAATTTAAATTAAAAAAGGAATTAAAAGCCATATAAAAATGCTTAAAAATTAACGAAAAAAAATTTTTTTTTAATATTTTTTTACCCAACAATGTTTAAGAAAAAATAATAAAATCAAGGAAAAGGAGGTCACACACAATTTTTCTAACACTAAAAAAAATCAGAAAATCTATCAAAAAATGATAGAAGAGATCTAAATATATATGTAATTATAATCAGTAGAGAAGAGAATAAATTACAATTAGACCTCATTATAAGAGGAAATTCAAACATTTTTTGAATTTTGAAGGCTAACAAATAAAGCTTCACCGGAAGTTACGGTCCCGGTAGGCCGAAAGTTCCGGCATTTTTTGGTTCCGGTTCCGGTTTGGTTGTAAAGTTCCGGAACTTTTAACCGGAATTTTTTAACACCCCTAAGGATTTATTTTCAGTTTTTGTATGGACAAAAAATAGCCGCATGGCCCTTCAAAAATTTTCGTCTGCGGGATTTTATGGTCCGGTTCCGGCTAAAAAAAACAAAATCTGGCTTCTTACTAACAAATAAGAAGGGAAAATTTTGAGAATTTTGTAAGGCCGTAGCCAAATTAACTTTATTTGCCGTATATTGAGTGTATTTTATACAGAATAACTTATAAAACGAGGTCTGACTGTAATATTAATTTTTTGAAATACCTATATTTATAGAAAAAACTCTAATTTTTTTATAAAAAATTTTTAAATTTTATTTTTCATTTTTCTCCTCACGCTTACGATAACGCTGAAAAAATTCAGAAAGTCTTTGATTATGAAGATTTTTGTTGTTATTTTTTGATGATGATGATAAGGCTAATGAGGCGGCATATAAACGAGGTAAAGGTGCTGATCGGATTATCTGTGTTAAGAGAAAAAATAATTTTTTTCTTGCTTCGTGTCGTACGGGAACAATAAATAGGTGTGGCATAAGGGTGACTACATAAGAGACCCATATTTTTCGACACGGTACAGGTTGGCGTAACCAGCCACAATTTTGTTCAGCATCAACGAATCAGGATAGTGTCATGTCCGATGTTCATGCTGTGAAAGAATTGTGGATGGGAGATGGAATTGAACCATCACGGAAAGGGCCCAAACCGAAAGCACAACCGGCTGTGCCACCATCCAACCTAATTCTGAGTTATTTATTTTCATTTGTATTCTTTCTGCAAGTGCGGACATAACAAATAGTAGTCTATTCAATTTACTACTCTCCAAAAATCAGCTAGCCACGCTTAACTTAGCTGAGTCGGATATATCGCGCACAATCGAGGACGCTATTTGGGGTGTCCCAGGACACGATATTCAAGGATAATTTCCATTAAATTTTTTTCAAAATTTTCGGACCTGTTCAGCATCAAGATCAAGCATAGTTAATCGACCATCAGTTGATGAAAATAAATGGAATTGGATTTTAACTCCAGTTTGGTCATCAGGCGTAAAAGCAATTATCTAATTAGAGAAATATTTAAATTTGAAGAAAAAAAAATTTTTCTATGGACACACTATAACCTCATCCCGTAACCTATAATGAGATGTCTATTAAATAGAGGGTATCCCCAAAGCAAATCCACCCCCTCCCATTCTGTCCCAGTGACAAAACCAGTGCTAGGTATGACTCCGGGGGCTCCTGAGCGCGGCTCCGGAGCTGAAATTTTGAAAAACCATGGCCCCGAAGCCAACAAATGCTCAATACACACAGCACTGAAATTTAAAATTTTTTATAATTTACCAAATAAAATTGGTCTTCTCTAATAAATTGGAAAATGCTTCTATCTTTTGGAAGTGTAGTTAATTTATTTGCAAGGGATAAAGCTTGGTTGTCGTTGAGTTTGTTGACCTTAACGAGAAAAAAAATTTTTCAAAAAATTTTTTCATTCTTCAAAAATTACTTGTAGTCCAACAATAGCTCTCTGTAAACGCTCCATTAGTATTAAAATTCGTAAACGGTCTAATAAATTGACTATAATTTTTATTGAAGGACTGGCTGCATTTAGTTGTTTTTCTAATTCGTTAATTTCGTCACAACGACCTAAAGAGAGAAAATAATTTTTAATTTAAAGGAGAAAAAAAATTTCAGAAAAAATTTTCCAGCCCTCAAAAAAATTTTTCGACCCAAAAAAATTTTTTTTAAATATTTAAAATAATCATAAAAATATTTAAAATTCACCTAATGCCTCAACTCGACAGTTAACTGTACCAAAGAATGTATTGACAGAAATAATTAAAGCTTCAGCGGTAATGCACTCCTCTGTTAAAATTAATGGGCAAGTGAGTGACAATAAACAATGACCAGACTGAAATTAAAAAATCAGAATTGAAAAAAAATACAAAAATCAGGATTTTAAAAATACGAAAAACAGAATTTAGAAAAACCAGAATATTATAAACACAAAAATCAGAATTTTAAAAATATAAAACCAGAAATATAAAAATCAGAATTTGTTAAAATACAAATAATCAGAATTATAAAATCAGACCAGAATCATAAAAATTAGAATTTTAAAAAATAAAAAACCAGAAATATAAAAATAGAATCTTTTAATACAAAAATCAGAATATAAAAGTCAGAATTTTGAAAAATACAAAAATCAGAATTTTAAAAAATCAGAATTTTGAGAATCGAAAAATCAGAATATTAAAAGTCAGAATTTTGAAAAATACAAAAATCAGAATTTTAAAAAATCAGAATTTTGAGAATCGAAAAATCAGAATATTAAAAGTCAGAATTTTGAAAAATACAAAAATCAGAATTTTAAGAATCGAAAAATCAGAATATTAAAAATTAAAATTTTAAAAATCAGAATTTTAAAACATACAAATAATCAGAATCTTAAAAATACAAAAACCAGAATTAAAAAATCAGAATTTTAGAGATTAGAAAAACAGAATTTTATATATCAGAATTTAGAAAAATAGAATATTGAAAATCAGAATTATAAAAATCAGAATTTGAGAAATGCAAAAATCAGAATATCGAAAAATAAAGTTTTAAATTTAAAACTTACCCGCGTAATCTTTACTGGTTTTGGTTGCGCCCGCTCCAGTAAATTTTGCGCTTGCAACAACCGTTCACGACACCGAAAAAAAATTGTTTCATTAAGTAGACGTTGAAGGGAAAAACTAAGAAAAATTATTTTAAAAATATTTTTAAAATAAATTTTTAATTGGAAAAATACGATCGGACACCATTATAAGAAGGTACCCCCTTTGGGACAGAAAAAATTGTATCGTACATATTTATGTGTATATTAAATTGACCCAAACCAGAAAACAACTTAAGAATCCTTAAAATCAGAATTTTAAAAATCAGAATTTTAAAAATCAGAATCTTAAAAATCAGAATTTTAAAATCAGAATTTTAAAAATCAGAATCTTAAAAATCAGAATTTTAAAAATCAGAATATTAAAAATCAGAATTTTAAAAATCAGAATCTTAAAAATCAGAATTTTAAAAATCAGAATCTTAAAAATCAGAATTTTAAAAATCAGAATCTTAAAAATCAGAATTTTAAAAATCAGTATTTAAAAATCAGAATCTTAAAAATCAGAATTTTAAAAATCAGAATTTTAAAAATCAGAATCTTAAAAATCAGAATTTTAAAAATCAGAATATTAAAAATCAGAATTTTAAAAATCAGAATATTAGAAATCAGAATTTTAAAAATCAGAATTTTAAAAATCAGAATCTTAAAAATCAGAATTTTAAAAATCAGAATCTTAAAAATCAGAATTTAAAAAATCAGAATATTAAAAATCAGAATTTTAAAAATCAGAATCTTAAAAATCAGAAAAAAAATATTGAGTGTATTTTATAGTGAGAATCGCTCGCATTTATCATGTTTATTTACTCTACCTTTGATCCAATTTTGGCAGTTCTGGACCAGAAGGGTGGTGCTTAACTCGTAAAGTGCTGTGAGGATCTGTTTTGTCTCCATATATAGTAAAGCGATAATGATGAATTTGTCTTTAAATTTAAAAAATATTAAAGACTTTAAGTTTATAACATGCTCCCCCCCCCCCATAGTTGTGTTGATATTTGCTTTGATACTTACATAACATCTGTTGTTCAGAACCAGTAGTTAGTGTAGGGTCTAGGACTATCTATACTAAGTTCTAGCATTATAAATTTGATAGTTTTTACAGAAAAGCGTGTTACGGAGCACAAAGAAAACGTCAAAACCCCCAAAAAGAATCAACAAAATGAGAATGGGCCAAAATTCCACTAGTCACATCATATCATTTACATAACCCCAAGCCCTCAAACCCCCACTGATATCTCTTCAAATCCCATGATATCCCCAAAAAAATCCCTTCAACTTATTGGAACAGCATTTTTCGTAGTAGGTAACATTTCCCGTACATTAAGCGGCAATAACTAATGGTGTACCCCACTCAGACACTTTTAAAAGACTTGGTAAATTCCAAATCGATCTCATGCCCTACCTATCCCCCAAAACAATTTAAAAAAATTTTTTTATTTAATTCACTTTTTGCTTCGAAATTGTTTTTGTTGTTGCTGCTGTTGTTGTTGACCACCTCCACTTCCTCCTCCACCTCCTTCTAACCAATAAGCTATTACTAATTTACATTCTTTTGTATTATACTCTTCAACACGAATATAAAGTGAAGAGATTTTAGCGATTAAAGTTGCTTGACAATAAATAACGTCCAATTGAAGTGAACGACAAAAAACATGTAAAATGTTGTAGGCATCGAATAAAGGCTTTAAAAGGAAAAAAAAATATTTTTGCTTCAAAAAATTTTTCAAAAATTTTCTCTCACCTTCTCTCCATTGTCTAATCTTTCTTGAACCATTTGGTGAAGAAAATTTACCTAAAATGAAAAAAATAAATAGAGATAAACCTAAGTATAAGATACCCCATTAAGTTTAAAAATTGTGCCTTATAATGAGGGGTAGCTTAAATAAAGGGATAGGAGTGTAGACACGATCGGGTATAAACCAAGGAGCTAGCCTAATCGATATTCTTACCTAAACTTGGGAATTCGTGACGTTTTTTGAGCCAAAACACCATCGGCTATAAACAAAACCTCCCTCCTCCCCCCTCCTCTTTGGTTTTCGGTTAATCCTAATTTAAAAAAAAAACTGAATTTCGGTTTTAAGCTTTAGAAATTATTTCTTGTGCCGGCTAGATTCCTAGTCTTGATCCTGATCAAAGATGTACGAAAACCCAATGTTGTGGATTGTACCAAAAATAATTTAATTAAGGTTCTGCCCGTCAAGGAAATACAGGTGCCTGTCATGGACATGGAGGAAAAGCCGGAAGAAAGTGAACTTGAGAGAAGAAATACGAGAAAGAAGAAAAGATGGTATTGAGATCTTATCGGCCAATCTTTTACATTAATAATTTTTAATATATAATGCTTTATGTTTTTCCCAGCTTTTGACTTTTACACTTCCATATACATATTTTTTAATAAAATAAAATTTTTCTTCTTTTAAAATAAATAAATTTATTTTATAATAATTAATAATAAAGTAAGGTAGAGGTTTAAATCGCCCAGTCCACGGCCCTTTTAAATCTTTAATTTATAAAGACTAATTTGTTGATATTTAGGCGAATTGTTCATCTTTCAATACGTGGCGAGCAACGGACCTGTAAATTGTTCAAATCGCCTTGTTCAAATTGTTCAACGTTCAATTGTTCAACGAAGCTAATAAAGAAGGACGAGAAAGGTGTTTAAATTTAAATAAAAATCTAAAAAATTTAAATTAAATTTAAAATATATAAATAAAATTAAATATGGAAAGGCCCATACTAAGTTTTGAAAGAATAATTTTAGAATTGGTAGATAGGTTAAAGGAACTAGAAAATAAGGACTTTCCGAAAAAATTAGGGGATAAAGCAACGCCAAATCAGCTGCGCAGACAATACTTTTTTGTTAAAAATACTTTAGAGCAATTTGGGGATTTAATTTACGAAATAGATGATAATAAGAAAAAGGCGACCGAATATATAGGAAGATTGTCAGCAGCGAGTAAAGAAATAAAAGAGGCTTCATTTTCGACATTTTTAGAAGAGTTAGACTTAACGAGTATTTTGAAAGAGGTGAGAAAGGTTAGAGCAAATTGGGAGACATTGAAATATAGTATAGAGGAAAGGTTAGATATAGACCCAGAAGAAGCTTCAATTGGTTCCTCAAATCACATCGGAACCTCAATCAAAGCGAAATTACCACAAATCCAAATACAGAAGTTTGACGGGGAAATAGAGAGTTGGTTTTCCTTTTGGGAGAATTTTAAGGTTTTAGTACATGATGAGAGGAATTTATCGGAAATAGAGAAATTTAATTTTTTACAGGCAGGTCTAGAAGGAGCAGCTAAGGAATTAATAGAGGGTATACCAATAACTAAAGATGGATACTACGACGCGATAGATTTAATATTGGAAAAGTTTGGAGATAGTAAAAAGTTAATAAGGTCATTAAATCAGGAAATAATGAATTTGCCAATATCTGAATGCTTTGAAGAAGATGAGAGATTATATTTAAAAATAGAGAAAATATGTCGATTATTAAATTCTTTAAAACAAAATACAGATGACACCCCTTATTATATGGCTTTAGAGAGTAAATTAAGTGCAGAAGTTTTAGATAAATATTTTGCAATAAAATCAATAGAGGAAGAAGAGGATTGGTCAACGGAAAAATTTAGAGCCGCGTTTAAAAAAGCACTTACACACGTTAGAACGGTTAAGGAAGTACAATATTCGGTTAGAAAACAAAAAGCAGGAGAAAGAATAATAAGTTTAACGACAACTACAAATAAAAACACTAGTAATAATTGGTATGGGAATAACCAAAATAGAAATTTTACACAATTTAGACCATCTAATAATAGAAATTTTAGTCCAAATAGAGAAAAATTCCGCGATAAAAATTATAACCAAAATAGAGAAAATTTTAATAGAGATAGATCCAGATCTTTTAGTCCCTCTAGTGAAGAAGATAAGAGAAATAATCAATATAGAAGAAGAAGAGACTCTCCCTTTCCAGACCGAGGAAAGAGCAGCTCGGATAGCCGAAGCCGATCGAGAGAAAGGGAAATTATTTGCGCTCTTTGCTCTAAAAATCATACGGAAGTAGACTGCACAAAATATAAAAGTGCAGAAGAGAGGAGGAACGCTTGTCTTAAAAAAGAGTTGTGTTTTTACTGTTTATTTAAAGGACATATGGCCTCACAGTGCAGAAGAAGAAGAACGTGCGTATTTTGTAGAAAAGCTCATCACTCAGCACTTTGTCTGAAAAAATATGGAAATATAAGAGAAAAAGTAAATTTAAGTTTAGAAAATATAAATAAAGCAGAAGAATTAAAAGATATAGATTTATCGAATTTAGGGAAAGAAATTATAACTAATTGTAGAGCAAATTTAAATAAAGAGTGTAAAATTGAAAATAATTTAGTTAATTCATGTTTATTAAATCCGGAAAGCAAAATGTCACTGCTTAAAGTAATACCAGTAAAATTATATAACCCATTAAATAAAGAGAAAACAATAAAAGAGTTTGCATTATTAGATGACGGCAGCCAAAAATCATATATAGAAGAAGAGCTAGCAAAAGAACTAAAACTGTGTAATAATAATATAAAGAAATTTCAAATAGAGGGAATTGGAAAAACTAAAATGGGGACTTTTGAAAAACCAATAGTAGAATTTGGAATAAGAAAAGGGAACTTTGATAAATTGATAAAAGCACGGGCGTTACCGACTGTTTTAAATAATCTGCCTTATGTGTCAATAGAGTCAATTCCAAAAGAACAGTTAAATAGAAATAAACTTTTAGCAGAATTAAAGATGATAAAGCCTAGATTGTTGATAGGAAATGATCATTATAATAAATTTATAATTTCAACTAATAAACAATTACCATCGGGATTTTGGTTATCTAGTTCTAAAGTAGGGAATATTCTTAACGGAGAGGGTAAAATACTAAATAAGGAAATGGAAGGAGAAATTTGTGGATATAGTTATATAGATGAAAATAATATAGGTACATTAGAAATACAAAATGATAAGGAATCGTATAAATGGGAAGACTTAGTAAAGAAACAGGAAAGCCTGCAATTTATGGGATTAAGTGATGCCATAGAAAAAAGCGATGAAGAGGTTAAAAAGGAAATGGAGAAATTAGTAAAATATGATGGCAAGAGATATCAAACAGCACTTTTATGGAACAGTCTAGCAGATAAATTACCTCATAATAAGCGAATGGCATATGCTCAATTAAAAAATATGGTAGCGAATTTAAGAGAAAAACCGCACATTTTAAAACAAATAGACCAAATATTTAAAGAGCACGAAAAGATGGAATTAATTGAAAGAATATCAATAGAAGAAAATACGGAAAATAGAATACATTATTTACCACATTTCGCAGTATTTAGGGAAGACAAAGAACACACTAAAATAAGAGAGGTTTTTAATGGAGCTGCAAAATCGGGGAATTCACCTTCTTTAAATGAATGTTTAGAGAAAGGACCTAACTTATTCAATGATCTCACTGGTATACAAATAAGGGCAAGACTTCAAAAATATTTAATAGGGTGTGATATAGCCAAGGCATTCCTCCAAATAAATCTGGACCCAGTTGATAGAGATGTAACACGTTTTTTATGGATGGAGGATCCTTTAGATGAAAACTCAAAAGTAATTGCGTTTAGATTTAAAAGAGTAACCTTTGGAATAATATGTTCACCAGCACACTTAGCTTTAGTCATTCAAATACATTTAAATAAATATAATACAGATTTAGCAAGAGAAATTGAAAGAAATATTTACGTCGATAATATTATAATAGGAGTAGAAGATGAAAAGGAAATTTTAAATATTTGTCAACAAACAAAATTAATTTTTGAAAAAGCGAGTATGCCAATAAGAGAATTTATTTCTAACTCAGAACAAATAAATAAATTACCGATTGAAGAAAGGATTGTTAAAGATAGAGTAAAATTTTTAGGGCTAGAATGGAATGTTAAAACAGACGAAATATATATTAAATTTCCTAAAATAGAAGTAGGAGAAAAATTAACTAAAAGGAAATTATTGTCCCAATCATCTAAATTGTTCGATCCTATGGGTCTTTGTGCGCCAATTTTAATAGAGGCAAAGCTATTTCGTCAGGAAATCGATAAAAATAGAAAAGTTGGGTGGGACAAATTATTAACGAATAAAGAAAGAGAAAAATGGATTAAAATAATTAGTGAATGGAATAATCAGAATATAGTAATTAAAAGGAAAATACATAATTTAATAAAGAAAAATATAGACAAATACGAAATACACGCATTTTCGGACGCATCTCAAATAGCGTTTGGGGCAGCGATTTACCTTAGAGTAATCACAAAAGATGAAATAATTACTAAATTAATTTTTGGAAAAAGCTTAATAATTCCTTCAACTCTCCCAACCAAAAGAAGAACCATACCGAATTTAGAATTACATGCGACTATGCTATGTGCTAAATATAGTGAATTTGTAAAGAAAGAATTAGAAAAAGAGATAAAAGTTGATAAAATACAGATATGGACAGACGCAAAAGATGTAATAGATTTTTTACATTCCAGAAATAGACTGGATGTTTTTACTGCAAATAGAGTAAAGAAAATAAGGGAATATTTGGTAAACCATATAGAAGGTAAAATTAATCCAGCGGATATTGCGTCTAGGGGTGCCTCAATTAAGGAATTACAACAAAGTGAATTATGGTGGGATGGACCGAAATTTTTATCGAAAATAGAGAAATATTGGCCTAAATCATTAATAAAATATGACCCAAAAACAATTAAAAAAGAAATAAAAATGCAAACTATAGCTTGTTTAAACATTAAAGAAAAAAATATAGAAAAGGAAAAAGATGAAATTCTCCAAATAATAGAAAGATCATTAAATTGGAATAAAATTAAATCAATAGTGTGTTATATATTAAGATGGAAAGAGAAAAATAAAGGACCAATAAAAGTAAAAGAATTAAAAAGAGCTGAAAAAATTATTTTTAGAAAAATACAAGAAATATTTCCGCCCACTGATACAGAAATTAAACAATTAGATCTTTATAAGGATGAGCAGAATTTATGGAGAGCAAAAGGAAGAATAAGAAAAAGTGGTCTCAATCTAGACTCAATGTGCCCTATATTTTTAGATAGAAAAGCAACTATAGTTCCGCTTTTAATATTAGAGGCTCACGCAGCGTCAATGCATGGAGGAGTAGAAATAATACATTGCCTTTTAAGAAAACGATATTGGATTCCAAAGTGTAGAAAATTAATCAGGAACGTAATATTTCATAATCGGAAGACAAAATGTGGAATTTGTGCAAGATTTACGTGTAAAAAGTTTGACTATCCGAAAGCACCAGATTTACCCATTTTTAGAGTCAAAGGAGATACTGCATTTATGAACGTAGGACTAGATTATTTCGGACCAATTTTAATAAAGAGTAAAGATTGTAATAAAGTTTGGGGAGCTATATTCACTTGTTTATTGTCGAGAGGAATACATATTGAAATAGTGACGGATTGTACGTCGGAAAAATTTCTTTTAGCGTTTAGACGATTTATAAGAAGAAGGAGAACACCAAAATTAATATTATCAGATAATGGTAAAACATTCGTCTTGGCCAATAAAGTAATTCAACAAATTTGCTCTGAAGAGTTAGAACAAAAGAAATTATGGTTAAAACTATTTAATGATGAGCAAATCAAAAATTTTGCAAGAAATAAGGAAATAGAGTGGAAATTTAATACCCCTCTTAGTCCATGGAGAGGAGGAAGTTTTGAGAGATTAATTCAATCTATTAAGTTTCATTTAAAAAGAGTAGTTGGAAAAAATATATGTACTTTTGAAGAATTAACAACCCTTTTAATAGAAATAGAAAGAATAATTAATGAACGCCCACTAACATATTTGTCTTCAACAGAAATTGTAGAACCGTTAAGACCTATAGATATTATAAACCCGAGTAGCGACAAACCATATGAAATTCAAATTTCTACGAAAGATATAGAAGAGGTAAATAAAGACGAGGAATTTTTCGTACCTACACCTACAACGAAAAATAGAGATAGATTATTGGCCACATATAAAAAATCAATTTTTAAAACGCATATTTTTTGGAAGAATTGGAAAGAAACATACTTAACTTCGCTAAGAGAAAAATATGAGAATAATAAAAAAGGGGTAGGAAAATTTCCAAAAATAGGGCAAGTTGTAATAATAAACGAAAATATAGAATGTCCAAGATCATTATGGCCAATAGGGTTGATTACTGAAATAATTAGTGATAGAACAGTTAAAATAAAAATAGGACAAAAGATATATGAGAGACCAACAAAAATAATATACCCTTTAGAAATTGAAGAAGAGGAATAAAATTATAGAATAAAAATAAATAATTAAATAAATAAATATATATAGAAATATAGAAAAATAATAATAAAAGAAATATAAACCAGAAATATAATATATAAAACAAATATAAATAGAATTATAAAACATTTAATAAAGTATCAATAAAGTAATAAAGTTAAAATATAAACATACAAATTTAAATAATAAATTTAGATAAATTTAAATAATTTTAAGATGTATAAACAACAAAAAATAGAAATTCACAATCCAACTCTATTTATTACTAATTATATTCCAACAAAATTAAGGGCTTTTTTAGTGGCGAAAAGAATTCCTGCAACGGTATATGTACCTAATTTTTGGAGAAGCAGCCTGATAGGAAATGAGATACAATTAAAGAATGAAGTAAAGACAGTAGTTGTTTTGAATAAAGACTATGAAGAGGGATTAATAGAGCTAATGAAGAAATTAAAACAAATAGCAGTGTTGAGTAATATAGATGTATTTTGGTTTCTAAAACATCCTAATTCAAGATATATTCAGAATATAGTCGGGGATAATATTATAACACTTGAAGATAAAGAGGAGGATTGGCCGGAAATGATTAGTGAGATGGCTCATAAAGGTATTGATTTTGAAGCAGGAAATAGAGCGAGAGTTGGGGAATTGCCAAGAAAAAGAAGAAATTCAAGAGAAAGTTTTTATAGAGGCTACCAAAAATTTGAGAGAGGAGAAAGAAGAAGAAGCCCTTCGCGAAAGAGAGAAAGGTCGATGGATGTAAAAAGATATAGAGAAGATTTCAACAATATTAATTGGAACGTAAAGCGTCAAAAATGGGGTAATAGAGAAAAGGAAGTTTTCACTTATAGAGTGCCAGCAAAAGGGAGAAATTATGAAAAAGAAGATTATGAATATTTCAATAAAAATACAAAGAAGAATTATTGGGAGGAAGGTAAAGAATCGAATAAAAATTTTTGGGAGAAAAAAGAAGAAAATAATAAAGAAGGGATAAATAGAGAAATAAAATATAATAGAGCAGGCTCAAGTAAAGGAAGTTTGGATGAAGAAGTATATAGTCAAAGTACCAGCAACACATCAAAAGGTTTGGAGGAAAATTATCAAATTAAAGAAAAATATTGTCTGCCACAAAATTTTTTAGAAGAAATAAGGATAATAGATAAAGAGATAATGTTAAATAAGCTAATAGAGAAAAACGCAAAGGAAATAGTAGATGAAAATTGGCAAATTATACTAGAAAAAGAATACTATGAAATTAAAAAGTTTTTGGAAGAAAGAATAGAGATAAAGATACAGTTATTTGGGAGTACACTTAGTAATTTATGTACTCAAAAGTCAGATATAGACATCGCAGTGTTTGAATCAGATATAAAGAATATAGGAATATTATTAAAGAAAATTGCAAAAGAGCTTAAAATAAAGTATGGGGCAGATAAAGTTCATAAAGAAAATTTAATAATACAGGCAAAAATCCCTTTATTAGAAATGCAGATAGAGAAAGAAAGTAATAGAATAACAATCCAAATAACAATAGAGAACGAAACTGGGGTAATAAATAGTCTTCACATAAGAATGTTAACAGAAATAGAGCCAAAATTAAAATATATATGGATGAATATTAAAAAATGGGCAGAAATAAATAATGTAATCGATTCAAAAAATGGAAGATTTGCAGCATACACTCTCTTAATAATGGTCGACTTTTATTTATTGAGCTTGAGTAAACCAGCAGTACCAAATATATGGAAAATAATAGAAGAAGAAAGAAATTATAGCGAAATAAATCATGTAGATTTGGGAAATAGAATATTCGAGAATATAGGAGAAAGCTTTGAAAACACAGAATACGGAACAGCAAGACTTTTCGCAGGATTTTTTAAATTTATGGTTGATATAGATTTTGATAAATACAGTATTAGTAATACAGAAGAAAATTGGATAAAAGATAAAAATACAGAAAAGTATCCTGTTGTAATAGAAAATCCATTTAACACTCAACAGAATTCCGCAAGAAGTGTTAAAAAGGAAAATTGGGAAGATATTAAAGAAAAATTTACAATAACGAATAATAAAATAATACAGGGTTTAAATAGAGAATTGTTTCACGAATTAATAGGGAATAGAGAAATTTGTGAGAAATTAAGTGAATTAGATTTACAAAAAGAAGAGGAAATATTGAAGGAAGACGAAAATGAAGAAACGATTGAGAATATTGATTTAGAGAAAGTTGAAAAGGAATTATTTAAAGAAAATGAGGAAGATTTAGAGGATGAGAAGACAAAGGAAGAAAAGAGCCAAAATAGAAGTAAGAAAAATAAAGCTTGGGTAAATAAAGGAAAAACTTATAAATTAGGGACCACTCTAGGACTAATAATATTGATTAATATTCTCACATTAATGAACAGTGCTATAGCAGTAAGACCTATGATCTGTCACCACTTAAAAAAGAGTAATTTAATAAAGTTCAAGATAGATAACTCAGAATGTAAGCAAGTTATTAAGCTTCTGAATAAGAATGTGTTAAGCGGTAGTATGGATATTTTCAAACCAAATACAATAGAGTTTAGTTTTTATGGATGGAAATGCGTCGCAATAAAACAAGCAGTCGACTATAGAACAGACTTTCTAGGATACTCTCACCAAAAAGCACCGGAACAAAAAATAATTAAAATAACGCCGGAAGAGTGCAAAAATTGGGTAAACTTTAAAAAATGTGAATATGGGGAAATAACAATAGGTAGTGATAAAGAATTACATACGGGGAATAGCTTAAATCTAGAATACTCCTGGTGGAAAATAAGATGGCAAAAAGCAACGGTAGTTAACTGTTTCATTACTCAAAGCCTACTAATAGGCCAACCGGGTAAAATTACAATAGATTCACCAACAGAGGAAGTGAAACATTGTGAATTTATAGAAGAAGAATGCAACCTAAAAGATGGAGCCGCTATAATATGGGAGAAAAACAATGATATTAGTGAAATTTTCGATAAAAGAATGTGTAAATATCAGAAAATAGGGCACTTTTCAGGAAATTATTCAAACGGAATTTGGTATTCAATAGACATGCAAAGATCATTAATATTCGAAGAAAATGCAGAAAAGATAGAGACTTGTGGAGAAAAACTAAGAATAAGTAATACAGGATTTGCTATTAGAGAATACGATTTTAAAAAGATTATTGACCAGAAAAATAAAAATAGAGTGAAAAGATATTTAGATAGGGACCCAGGTGTGAAATTAAGCGAACTATTATCTAGATTACAAGCTGAAGCAGTTTTTCAGGACAAACAAAATCGAATAGCGCTAGAAAATATAATTAACATACTCTGCGAAACAATAGAAAGCAACCAATATACTACATGGCTATCACATTTAGAAGCAACCAAATTTATTAGAGAAAAGCTTAATAATGATTATTTAGAAGCTAACTGGGTAGACAAAAATATTATAGAATTCTGGGAATGTACGCCGACCAATTATACCATCACACCGTCTGTTGACGGAGCATGCTTTAAAGATATACCAGCAAATATTAGCATGAAAGATGGAGTAATAAAAGGATATATAGACCCGCAGAATTTAATAATAAAAAGCTTTAGTGATAGAGGTCCTTGTGATAAATTTAGATATATTACAATCAAAATTGATGAAAAATTTTTTAAAGTAGACCAGTGGAGTGGAGATATAGCTGAAATAAAGTCAAAAGACATAATTGAAGAAAAAATATCCAATAAAAAGATATTCAGAGTCCCGAATTTAGCGGTTCATATTTTTATTAAAGATAGTTTAAACAATATATCAGAAGATCAAATTGACATTTTACAATTGATGCACAGTAGTTTAGGACATAGGGGTATAGACAATAGACCGATAGAGCAACAAGGAGCATGGATTAATCCACCTACTAACAACTGGTCAATAAGTGGAATTTTAATAAGAATAGATTATTGGGAATACTTAGAAAGAATAATGGTTATAATAAATATAGTGTATTGGATTCTAAAATTATGGGAATGGAAAAATAAACAGATATTGAGACGAATCACCCGAAAAGATCAAAATCTAAAAATGGGGAGTGTTGTGGATTGTACCAAAAATAATTTAATTAAGGTTCTGCCCGTCAAGGAAATACAGGTGCCTGTCATGGACATGGAGGAAAAGCCGGAAGAAAGTGAACTTGAGAGAAGAAATACGAGAAAGAAGAAAAGATGGTATTGAGATCTTATCGGCCAATCTTTTACATTAATAATTTTTAATATATAATGCTTTATGTTTTTCCCAGCTTTTGACTTTTACACTTCCATATACATATTTTTTAATAAAATAAAATTTTTCTTCTTTTAAAATAAATAAATTTATTTTATAATAATTAATAATAAAGTAAGGTAGAGGTTTAAATCGCCCAGTCCACGGCCCTTTTAAATCTTTAATTTATAAAGACTAATTTGTTGATATTTAGGCGAATTGTTCATCTTTCAATACCCAATTTCGCTCTCAAAAACGAAAATTATTTTTAAACGAAACACGAAACGAAAATTTTCGTGGATCTCTGATACTGGTATATAGTATAAGCTTTCTCTAGCCAATGACTTAAAAATAGAAGGTAGAAACAATTATACCCATTAATAAGATACGACCGTTCAAGCCGGGTCGTCTCAAAAATATTCAAAAAAAATTTTTTCCCTAAATTCACCTGTAAAGGATGAACTAAACGTTGTCCTTGCCCAACCTCCGCGTTTGTTACAAGTATTTTAATATTTAAAAGACACCATTTTGTTTGTTGCAAATCGTCGCCTAGACGTGTTAAAACAATTTCAAATTCATTGGGAACAATTAGGGTAACCTTTAAATTTGATAAATGTAAAATCAGAAATAATTAAAATCATAATTTTAAAAATTAGAACACAAAAATTAGAATTAAAAAAATACAAAAATAAGGGCGAAATAAGAAAATCAGAATTTAACAACAGAAGGAAAATCAGAACACCAAAAATCAGAACTTAAAATCAGAATTTAAAATCAGAAAAAGTCAGAATAATCAGACCAAAAAATCAGAAATTCAAAACCAGAACAAGAAAATTAGAATTTAAAATCAGAATAAAAAAATCAAAACAAAACCAGAAAAAAAGATCAGAACTCAAAAAATCCGAATTTAAAATCAGAATAGTGAATCAGAAAATAATCAAAATAAAGAATCAAACCAAAAAATCAGAAGCTCAAGAATCAGAACATTAAAAATCAGAATAAAAACCAGAATTTAAAATCAGAGTAAAGAATCAGAATGAAAAATCAGAATAAAGATCCAGGCCAAAAAATCAGAAGCTCAAAAATCCGAACAAAAATCAGAAAGAAAAAATCAGAACATTAAAAATCGGAAAAAATCAAAACATTAAAAATCTGAAATAAAAATCAGAACAGAAAAAACCAGAACAACCAAAAAATAAAAACAACTCACCATTCCATTTTTAATATTAATTTGCTCTATACGCGGTGACAATTGCCTTGCACTCTGAGCCAAATGAAATTCCAAAACTCTGTTAAGTTCACGCAGAGTTAATCGTTGCTCACGGCCAGCCAATGGAGGGGTTGAAACGAAGCGATCCTTTAAAGAAAAATAATTTTTTATTTAAAAAAAATTTTGCCTTTATATTTTGAGGAAGTCGAGGGTAAGTGCCCAATGTAAGAACATCAACAGCTTGTGGAACATGAAAAACTGACAACCTAAGAAATTAAAAATAAAATTCTGATTTTGTGTTAATTTAAATTCTGATATTTTATTCTGATTTTTTATTCTGATGTTTAATTTCCTTATATTTAAATTCTGATTTCAAAATTCTGAATTTTTATTCTGGTTTTAAATGCTGACTTTAAAGTTTGAATTTTTGTTCTGATTTTATATTCTGATTTTTCATTCTGATTTTTTAAATTCTGATTTTTTATTCTGGTTTTGAATTTTCTGATTTATTCTGATCCTATATTCTGAATTTTCTGATTTTTTCTGATTTTAAATTCTGATTTTGAATTTTCTGATTTTTTTCGGTAAGGGTTCACCTTAGCAACACAACAATAACCACGTTTTTCTAGGGTAATAAAATGCGCTGAGTTCAAAAAACACTATAAAAGGTCTCAAAACGGTGCTCCAAGGCATTTTTTGGAAGATTAAAAAATCATCGGGCTCGAAATGGTCAGGGGGAGTAAGCTGTTTTGGGGTCAAAAATTCGAATATACAAATAATAGCTCATTCGAAAGGGCTCGACGAGCTGAGTTGAATGGCATCAAAATCAGCTCGATTGGATGATTTTTGACAAAGTTATGACCAACAGAATCTTCGCTGGAAAAACTGTTTTTGTGCTGCTACGGAGGGTAGGCCGGGCATGGTCTTCGCTACACGATGGCCGTGCTTCGATGCGGTCGTGCTCGCTGCGCTCGCGGCGACCGTAGCGAAGCGGCGGCCGTCGTTCCGCTCGACATGCCCGGCTTCCTCCGCAGCGGCAAAAACTTTTTTCCGCGAAAACCTTGTGGAAGGGGTAAAAACAAACGGTCATAACTTTGTCAAATCATGTCAGATTTCGTTGATTTTGGTGTCATTCGACTCAGCTCGTCGAGCTCTTTCGAATGAGGTATAATTCGTCTATTCGAATTTTTGACCCCAAAAATCAGCTTGGTCCCCCCTTTGGTTTTCGATTTTCAGGGGTCTGATAATCCGGGAAAAAATGCCTTCGAGCACCGTTTTGAGTACTTTTATAGTGTTTTTTGAACTCAGCGCATCTTTTTACACTAGAAAAACATCACTTTCAGTGTGTTGCTAAGGTGAACCCTAGCCTTTTTTTCTGATCTTATATTCTGATTTTTTCTGATTTCTCCTTCTGATTTTTAAATTTCACTTTTTATCCTAATTTTAAAATTTTACACAAAAAATAGAACAAAATTATCAGAAAAATCAGAATTAAAAAAAGGAACAAAAAAATCAGAAATAAAAATAAAAAATCAGAATTGTTTTATTCCGAATTTATTACGATTTCTTATTCTGAATTTAAAATTCTGACTTTTATTCTGATCATTAATTTATAATTTTATACCTAGCATTAGGCAACTCATTTCTCGCAATTTCTACAAGCTTGTCTGCAGTTTCAACATATCTAGCTGCTTGCTCATCCAATAAAAAGCGTCTAAAAAATTTTTTTTTGAGTTTTTTTAAAATTATTAATAGACTAACATAGAAGAAAGGGGTTCAAATTTTCGATTAGTTTTAAGCCACCGAACAATAGCCAATAAACGAACAAAAACTAGACGAGTTGAATGGGCAAACTGGACAACACTGATTGTTCGATCTTGCGCTTTCTTCTGTAAATTGAGCGTATATAAAACTTGTAATTCGTGTGCAGTTTGATGAATAGCAAAATCAAGTAGTAAAGCCAAAGAAACGGTTGGTGGACCACACTGGGGTGGGACGGGAGGTAAGAGAGCCTTAAAAACAAATAAAATATGTTGGTACAAAATACAAATGTTGTGTTTTAAAAATAAAAACATTTGTGTTTTTGACAAACATTTGTAGAAACAAGTTTATTTATAAAATGTTTTAATAAAATACAACCTAGTTTGCTATAAAACACAAACATGGTTATATTTTAAATAAAATACAATACATTAATAAAAACATGTGTTTTGTTTTTATTACACAAAACACATGTTTGTATGTTTCTTGAAAAACATTTTTATAAAAACATGTGTTTGTATTTTATTAAAACAAGTTTGTTTTTAAAAAATGTTTTTCATAAAATAAACATGTTTGTCAAAAACACATGTTTCTCGACAAAAACATATAAAAACACAAGTTCGTATTTCATCAAAACATGTGTTTAGAAAAGATCGAAAAATAAACTTGTTCGTCATGTTTGTGTTTTACTTGAAATTGACTAAAACAACTTTCATAAAAACGTTTTTCTAACCAAGTTTGTTTTTATTAAACAAAACACATGTTTGTATATCGACAAACAAGTTTATTTTAAAAATCAGAACTTGTATTTTATAAAAACACAAATGTTTTTCTTAAATAGACAAAACCTTTAAATTCTGCGAACTAGAAGCAACAGAAGAGATTGTTTTAACAGAGTCAACAACACTAACAGAATTTGTTGGATTTATAGAATTTGTTTGGCCAACATTTTGAGGATTATTAAGCTTAAAACAATTTGTTTTTTAAACAAAAATTTAACAAAAACACCTTCATTTGTTCCATCATTAATTGATGTTGGTGTTGTTGTTGAGCTGGGGAATGTGAAGGAATTTGGTTTGCAAAAGACATTAAATAATTTTTAAAAAATCCTAAAAATTAAAAAAAAAATTTTGCATTAAAAATTAAATATAAAAGACGAATAAAAATCGATTAGCATTCAAAAATCGATAAAAAAATTTTTTAATCAAGTGAAAATGAGGGTAGAAAAGAAAAAAAATAAAGAAAACTCTTTAGAGAATAAAAAAATAAAGCCACAAAAAATTAAAAGAAGCTTTCGCTATCCCTGCATTGAAGAACCGGGAGTTGGATCAGCATAAGCATCCAATGTGGAAGAGGAAAGTAAGCGGGAACGTTGGACGTCATGGACTGTTTGTCTCCGAGAATCTGTAAAGAGAGAAATTGTTTAGAGATTGTTTTGATTTAATAAAAACACATGTTTTGACGAACATTATTTAATAAAACAAACATGTATTTTAGTAAAAACACATGTTTGTTTTAATAAAAACACATGTTTTGACGAACATTATTTAATAAAACAAACATGTATTTTAGTAAAAACACATGTTTGTTTTAATAAAAACACATGTTTAGACGAACAAACATTTAATAAAACAAACATGTGTTTTGGTAAAAACACAAATGTTTGAATTATTAAAAATGTTTGTAAACAAAATAAACATGTTTTTAGTTAATAACCCAAGGAATGTTTTGTTTTAATAAAAATACAAAACTTGTTTGCAAAGAAATAAACAAGTTTTAACAAAACAAACATGTTTGTGTTTTAAAACAAACACAAACATGACTTGTTTGTAATTAATAAAATGTTCGTTTGAATAACAATGTTTGTGTTTTAATACAAACACAACAAAACATCAAAAAATTAAACATGTTTTACTTGATAAATTTATTTGTTTTGTAAAACATAAAAAATTAGAAAACAAACATTGAATAAGTTGTGTTTGTGCCTGTTCAGTTTGTATATAACTCCCAGCATAAAACAACCCAATAACTATTGCTAACAGTGCAGCAGAAAAAGCAGCTACCCGAATATCTTGATGCCTATCTTCAGTTCTAGGATCATCCTTGCAGTGGAGTACATCATGCCATAAATTCATTGTATCGTTCATCTAGTAATAAAAATTAAATTGTTAAACGGTTAGAAAAATAAAAAAACACAAAAACAAATTAAAAAGAAAACAAGTTTTGGTTTGTGTTTTTAAAACAAATAAAATTTAAATGTTAATAAACATGTTTTTGTTCCTATATTTAATAAAACACACATTTACTTGTTTTAGTAAAACAACTTGTTTGTGTTTTACAAATGTTTGTATTTTTCGTCAAACACAACTTGTTCTAAATAAAACACAAACAAGTTGTTTTACAAAAAATACAAACATATAAAACAAATGTTTGTGTTTCATGTTTTCCTTTGTTTTTAGCTTGTTTTTAAAAACACAAACATTTAAAAACACATACCATCGCCTCAACATCAACACAAAAATCAATGTTCGGCGCAGTATAAACTTTCCAATAAAAATCAAAAAGAGAATCAAATTGTTTTGAACAATGTTGGCAAACAAATGGAGGGCCTTCTTGTTTAAATGTTTGTAAATTTGTGTTTTTGTTGTTGTTTTGAATGTTTTTAAGAATAAATGTTGCGTTGGAAATACAATCTCTCCAAACATTTAATAAATTAGAAAATGTTGACTTAAAAATTAATTTTAATTAATTAAAGAGGGAAAATTCCAAACTGTTTTATTATCAAGGTCGAAAGTAGCCGTTCCATTAGTTAAATCGCCATGAATTATTAGACAGGCTAAAAATTAATTTTTTTTAAATTTTTCCTAAGCAAAGTATAGTAGAATTTACGAATGGTTTTGAGGTTCTGGAGCGGTCAGAAAGAGTATCAGAGTCAACAAAAAATTTTTGGAGCCCCAAGTAGAGCTATGAATGAGGAAAAATGACTGGACTATTAGGGAAAGGATGTGAAAGGTTACCCGATACTCGTACATACCTTTTTTTGCCGGAAACCCGGTCAGATAAAATTCAACCTATATATCCCTGAACTAAAGGACGAGTCAATGACGCTTTGAAATCTGGGGGAAAGAAAAATAAAAAGGAGAACCAAAGCCGATTTTTGGGGCAAAATCAGTGAAAAATTAAAAATAAATGTAAATTTAATTTTTAAATGAGGTCATTGTGGTTTGTGCCGTCTGTTTTAAAATTTGAAAAAAGCAATCCAGAATTAAAGGTAAGCGACTTTATCTGTCCCGTGACCATTCCCCAACTCCTATTGACCAAAATAAAAGTCAGTGACTCCATACCCAAACAGTTAAATAGACTCAGAGCCCAAAACCACCTCTCCTAAACTCCTTAAAAATAAAAAATACTTTACATTGACACCTCGACTTTTCCCAAATTTGTTTCCCAAGTGCACCAGACATTAAATGAGCATAACTGACGACATAATTTTCTGAAGAAAAAATCTTTTCAAAAATTTAAAAAAAAACAAAAAAACCGTAAATAACAGTTGTACAAGTTCGATTATTGGCAGACAAGACATCCTTTGAAGAAAATTAAATTTTAAGAAACAAATAAAATTTTTTAAGCGTCCGACTATGCTTCGCCTATAAAGAGGAAGGGGATTAACAATAGATCAAACTATATCCCAAAATGTCTGGCTTTCAAATGTGGGGGTAACTGTTACTCTTTTATTCTTAAGAAAAATTGTTGGGAAATCCACGAGTTGGGAAATCCACGGGGAAAGGGTCAAAATCACTCGGGAAAATTTGTGGGTTTTCAGGAAGTTTCTTGTAAAAACGAAGCCCGATTTTGTCCCGTTTGCGTGCCCAAATCCTTAGGGAACACAAAATCGAAGCGCTTTAAGCCTCGATTTTGACCGAAAACGAAGTCGGAACTTTTAAAAAATTTTTCCTAATTAAAAAAAATTAAAAATAAACCAAATGTTGACTTTTATATTCCTCTTCTCTCAATTGGGCATATTGAATATAACAACTGGTACAGACTTGTGGGGGTGCCTAAAAATAAAATTAATTGAGAATAATCAATCACAATTTAATTTCGGTTAAAAAAACCGTTTACAAAAAATGTGGACATTTGGTCCCAAAAATTATTTAAAAAAATTAACCGAATTTTCCACCGCACATCTCGCCATTTGTGCCTGTTTATCTGCTAGTCTCTAAAAAATAATTAAAGGTTGTATATTTTACTGATTCCTAAAAAATTGAGGAAGTGCTCTTTCGATGTTTATGAGGCACACTGAGATATTAAAACGGACATTCGGGATATTTCAGTCAATGTACAGTTAACCTACTGATTTCGGGTTCTACGTCTTCTGGGTCTTAGAAAGCCCATTTCCCTCCTTTCCCTATTGAAGAAAAGTTTTTAAGCCTTGGAACCAACGAAAACACTGACGAGGTTATTTTTCTCACAAAAATCCCGATATGTCCCCGCACCATTTTTGAGATAAGCCAGTAGGTAATCGAGTGTTCCGAGTCCAAATTTTACTTTAGATAACTCAAAAATAAACAAAAATTGGACTTATTCTGACAGAGCAGACGCGATTACCTTACGGGAAACCTCAAAAATAGCGAAAGAAGATAAGTTCGTTGATTTTTAAGAACCAAAGAAGTTCTAGTGACTAAAGATCGGTATTTTTGAAAAGCCTGGACCTGTTTCCTGGTCTAATTTATTGACATGGGCCGGATCCTGGGCCTATAGTACAGGAAACCCCAAGGCTCAGAAAAACCGAGGAAGGCCAAAAAATGCCTGAGCCTGGACTCTGAGTACGGGAAAAACCCAGGCCTTGGTCCAGACCTAAGCAAATCTCTATAGGGAATTTACTCCCAAAAAAATATAAAAAAATAAACCTTCAAATCCTCTCTACAGGCAAAATTAAGATCCCAATCCTTGTTTATGCCAAAAACAAAATTGGACGAATAAATAACACAAAATGAGAATATTTGCAAAAGTGAAGTTGTAAATGAAGCAAAATTGAAAAAAATGTACATTTAATATGAAATCTTGGAAAAATCTGAAATTAAAATATAAAAATTTTAAAGGTTAAATTGAGTCGCTGAACAGCTTAAACAATTAATTATTGAATTCCTAGCATAAAAATATGGGGAAAATCAACAAATGTCAGAACAATAATCGAATCGGAAAAACAAAAAAGAATCAGAGAACCAATTTTTCTGGGGTCAGCCCTGAAGTCCTAAAGACCTCACCAAGAAACCTACACCCCCAAAGGAACCCAGAAGACCTACAACGTTTTGGTCCCATTTTTTACTATTTATTTGTTTACAAGCTTAATCAGAGAGGAACTGAAGGGATTAAAGGGGGCAATGAGACCAAATCAGAAACTCAGAAAAAATCAGAAACCAGAAAAATATTAAAAATTCCAATAATCAATCAAACAAATGAAAGAAAACTAAAAAGGCCAACTTGGGTCAAAAAACCGTCCAAATTCCTATTTTTAGGAAATTAAAAGGTCTGAGCGTCCTAACACCAATTTATTCACAATTCCACTCAAAAACAATCAAAAATATAGCAAAAACCCACAAAAATCCCAAACATTTAAGGGGGAATTCCGGATTTCCCCCATTCCAAAAATTTCAGTAGTATATACGCCACTTTTATAACATTTTTTAGTTAACATTCATTCCCATTTAATAGAGCAAGCAAAATAAAAATAAACAAGATGAGGAGTAAAATAAGAACAGAGACACACGCTATTAAATTTTGAGTCAAGACACCCAAAACGGCCCAAAACGGCGCGCGACCATAACGGCGCAAAGCCATAACTTGCTGGAAAATGTCTGACCCTTGTCAATTTTGGTACCAATCTCTTTATCTCGTTGAGAAGAATCGTTTGATACTAAATCTTGTAAATTAGGAAATCTTGAAGCAAGTTATGACTTTGCGCCGTTATGGCCGCGCGCCATTTTGGGCGTGCCCCCATTTACACGCCGATTAATTTTATTTTTTAGAAGAGCGTTAGAGTCTTATTGGGCAAATAAATTCCCTAGTCCGGGCAAAAACCAGGCTAAAGTGCACTTTACCGGGCGATTTTAGATTTTTATGATTTATATGTCTATCGAAAGAGCTCATCAAGCTGAGTCGAATGACACCAAAATTAGTCCGCGGACTCAACTATGGACCGAGATATAGGTCCCCAAAAACGCGAAAAAATATAGGGGGGACCAAGCTGTTTTTTGGGGGTGAAAAATTCGAATATGCAAATTATGCCTCATTCGAAAGAGTTCCTCGAGCTGAGTCGAATGATACCAAAATCAACAAAATCCGACTTGATTTGACAAAGTTATGACCGTTTGTTTTTACCCCTTCCACAAGGTTTTCGCGGAAAAAAGTTTTTGCCGCTGCGGAGGAAGCCGGGCATGTCGAGCGGAACGACGGCCGCCGCTTCGCTACGGTCGCCGCGAGCGAAGCGAGCACGACCGCAGCGAAGCACGGCCATCGTGTAGCGAAGACCATGCCCGGCCTACCCTCCGTAGCAGCACAAAAACAATTTTTCCAGCGAAGATTCAGTTGGTCATAACTTTGTTCATAATCATCTAATCGAGCTGATTTTGGTATCATTCAACTCAGCTCGTCGAGCCCTTTCGAATGAGCTATTATTTGTATATTCGAATTTTTTGACCCCAAAAATCCCCCCAAAAATTTGACCATTTCGAGCCCTGTATCTCGGCTCATAGTTGAGTCCGCAGGCTAATTTTGGTGTCATTCGACTCAGCTTGATGAGCTCTTTCGATTGACATATAAATTGTTCAAATCTAAAATCGCCCGGTAAAGTGCACTTAGGCCAAAAACCATGTTGTTTTTTCGCGATTTCCAGATTATTTTTCGGCCAGACTAACCAAAAACCCAGCCAGATTCGGTCCGACGTGAGTGCAAAATTCAAAATCCGAAAAAATGATTTTCCCGACACTATTCATAGTTCAGAGCCACAAACCAGACAGGAAGTCTAAATAATCTAGGTCTGAAAAAACATTATAGACATTTATTCAGAGGAACTCCGGAATTTCCCCCCATTCCAAAAATTTCTTATATTAGTAGTATATAATAGGGTTTTATAACATTGCTCAATATTAGAGAATAACCAAATAAACAAATAAAATATTTAAGAAGAAAAGATGAGAAGCAAAAAAGGCTAAGAGACATAGAAGAATAAGAAAGAAAAATAGAGAAAAAAATAGAGAAAGGAAAAAATATTTCAAAATGTAAAATGGACAAAATACCTAACTGCCAAAATGTTTGTGGAGTAGATATTTGTTCATTTTGGAAGCCATAGACGAGACTACTTTTTAAACGTTGAAAATAAAGATGCTAAACAATCAAAATATAATAAATAAATAAATTATTTTGAGGAAATGTCGAAACAAAAGAGAAAAGGTTTCGATTTTGGAAGTTTTTTAGGGATTCGAATAAAAATTTCTGCAAAACAATTTATTTTTATTTAATCAAACAGTTTCCAATATAAGCAAAAAAGTTTTATAGAAAATTATATTTTAAAAGCAAAAGCAAAGTTCAGTAAAAGTTGAATAGCAAAAAAAGATTTTAATTTAGCAAAAGTAAATTAAGAGAAAGGTAGCGAAGAATTTTATATCTAAAAAAGGGGATGGACAAAAAATAAAATAGGAAGATAAAAAACCAATCAAACAAAAGGGTTTAAAAAATATATACTCTAATCTTAAGTAATTGCAGGTGTCATTGAAAAAAAGGGGGAAATTCAAAAATAAATTAATAGAAATAAATTAATCTAATTAGAAGAGAAGCAATGCGCATCAGGGCGATGATAACGCGATACGGCGGGGGTGGAATTCTCTTAAATGTGATGAAGGACGAAATTGTTGAGTGTAGGGTCTGTGGAAAAATGCTGTACAACAACTTTGTACAACATAGCTATGAACATCTTGAGGAGAATGTATGGTCTCGCAAAATTTGTGATGTGGTAAAAAGCTTATTTTTCGAATATAGTTCTTGATTGGATGATTTGTCATTTATTTAAATAAATTTGCTTTAAATTAAAGGGTTGCAATAAAAGGCAGATGGTGGTAAAGCATGGCAAGGATTTCCACGGAAAAAAACTTGAGCCAATAGACTCGCGGTGTAGATTTTTGAATCAAATAAAGGTAAAAATATTAATTTTTATAGTAAATTTTTTAAAAAAAATTCAGGAAAATATAAAGCGGTGCTTCCCGTGGAATGTTCGCGATTTGCCCGAAGGCTATCCCACGTATTGCACGATGATTCTGGCCCTAGAGAGTATACTAAAGTGCGGCTCGGCTGTAGGTATTCTCGGAGGTACGAAATCTAAAATGAACGAATAAACGAAAAAATGAAAATGATTTTGTTTGAGGTAAAAACATATAAATGAGGTAAAAACGATCTAAGTAAAAACAAAAAGAGTTTAAATACAAAATATCTAAAATGGGGATGGAGCATGTGTGTATGTGTATGATGATGATAATAAAATGATGATGGTTAATTTAATGACCAAATGAAAATATACGTCGCTCTTTGTTTATTTATGTAGTCTAGAAAATAATTTTCACGCACAAACCCGATTTGAAAAGAAAAAGCAGAATAAAATTATAGGAGTACCTGAACGGCTAATAAAACAACAAATTTAAAAATAAAAAAATTAAAAATAGGGAAATAAAAATCATTAAATAAAACCAAATTAAGAAAGGCCAAATAAAAAAATTAATAAATAGAAAATTAAGAACATGTAGACATCAAAAAATGTTCTTTATTTTTGCAAATGAAGAGAATTCTCACCCTCATGCACAAAAATTAAATAAAAAGGTCGAAAAACACGTTAATAAATAGGTGACAGTTCGTTCAGGCGCAGTGTGCTTTGGCGTGAGGTATAAAATAAAAAATTGATAAAATAGAGCGATAAAATTCTGCAAGAAAAGCCCTCGTGCTTACTAAGCTCTAAAAAATTTCAGAAATTAAGACCAAAAATTTTTATACCCCAGAAAATACTTAGTTTCTCGAGGGTTATTGATTATAACTTTAGAAATATTAAAAAATTAAGAAATTTTTGGAATCGTTGCATAGAATGTTAAAAAATTAAAAATTTAAAATATTTAGGGTTCGGTCGATATAACTACTAGTAGCAAAACGAACCCAACAGAGAAAATGGGAGAAGAAAAGAATAGGGAAAGCAATTCATTATGTTATTACTAGGGCTAGGATTTTAGGCAACCTTTTTTATAGATTTTAGTCAATATTTTTGCGGAGCTAATGCACATTGTAAAATTTTTTTGTATATTATGCTTAGTTCAGAGCCATTAACATGACAGAAAGTTTTAAAAAGGCTTATCAAAATCCAAGTCTAAAAACTCTATAGACATTTATGCAGGGGAATTCCGGAATTTTCCCCCTTTCCAAAAATTTTATATATTAGTAGTATATAATAGGGTTTTATAACATTACTCAATATTAGAGAATAACCAAATAAACAATAAAATATTTAAGAAGAAAAGATAGAAGCAAAAAAGGCTAGAGAGGTAGAAGAATAAGAAAGAAAAATAGAGAAAGGAAATAGAGAAAGGAAAAAAATTTCAAAATGTAAATTGGCAAACTACTCAACTGACAAAATACCAGAAAAGGAAGAGCTCCTTTTCACCGGATGAGGGCTAACTCGAGGAATTCCAACTCACGAAACAGACAGGTCACGGAACAACTCTCAGAATGATTAAAACACTGAATATTTTAAAAATCAGAAATTTATATAAATCAGAACTTTTCAGACATGTTTGTTCCGTTAGATAGTCCGACACGTTTTTACCTAGCAGGGATAGGCCGAAACTGATTTTAAAAAGCGAAAGGCGAAACATAAAAAAGTGCAAATACGTTCTCTATCCCTTGGTATTCATAAAAATGAAATGATGATTCAATGGTAAAATTATAAAGTAAATGATGATTTTTGATTGGAAATTTTTTTTCATTAATTTAATTGACTAAATAATTTTTAATTTATCAATTTTTATTTTGGTATTAATTAGAATATGTCAATTTTACGAGTTTTTATTAAATTTTTTCGAATTTTCTACTTTTACAATTTACTAGGTAATTAAATTTAAAATTTTTTAAAAATTTGGGTTTCGGATCCCTAGAGATTTCGGTTTTCGGTTCGGATCCCTGGGACTGAAAAAATGGAAAAGGAAACGGAGTAAGGCAGACGAACTATCACCCTGAAATAGAAAGAGTTTGCAAAAGTTTAGCCACCGGGCAGTATTCGAACCTGCGACCACCTGCTAGTTGTTGCTAGACGCTTTCGCTCACCATATGCAGGAGCTCTACCTCTGAGCTACCGGGGCATCGACTAATGCTTTCTCTTTTTCCTTTTTAGATCGTTTATCCCCCGCCTAAGCGTTTTAAATGCTGCTAGGTGAATCATCCTTACAAAATTTAATTCAGTTAAAATACTTTCTTCTCTAAGAACTT